CATTTTGTGGTGAATTATTACATAGTATTTATACATCATATGAGGCATAGAATTTTAAAACTGACCATTTATATGCTAGTTGTTTGATGTTATCACGAACATTTTATGGTATATTATTACTTAGTGTGTCAACATTATATGAGGCATAGAATTCTACAACCAACCAACTCCATTTCCATGTTCTATTTCTTTTTTATATTAATAGTTTTGGTACTGGATTATCACTAAGCAAATTATTTCTATAGAAAATTTAACCAAACATGAGTTCAATGTATGATCCCTAACTTGAATGAATTCAATCTGTGATTTCCTGTAAACATACATCTAAATCAGTGAACACTTCACTAATTTTATTAAATATTAACTATTTATATTTTATATAATAACTTTATTCAAACTTTGTAATGTTATTTTTTCCGTTTCTTCCAGTCAATAATAAATATTCGAAACGATCTCAAACCAAACAACTAACTTTTTTCCCCTTTATATTTAATGCAAATCTAACCAATTTAATATAAAATTATTATTTTAAAATTTATTAGTTAGAACCTTGCGTAATTACAGAGACTGCCTTGATATGTTCCCGTCTAAAGCGCCTTTTTATCAACGTTTGCATGCGCTGTTGGAGAACGTAACGGTAATGTTGAGGTTGTTTGTTCGTAATGTTTAATGTGAATACCGATATTGAGGTTCATTATTGTATTAATTATATATTTTTTGGCCAACTAGATCAATTTTTTATAAATATTCGTAGCTCATTTTACACACGGAAATATTTCCTTTCACAGGTGATTATTTATTTATTATTGTGTTTTTACAGTATGGTTACTTGTTTATATATACATATAGAGGGTGTCCTGTTAGTAGAGGGAAATTTTTATAGGAGCAGGCTTCAAGACCTACAAAAAAGTCCGTATAAACAATAGGCCAATATTCTTCGAAAAAGTAGAAAATCCAAGTTATGTGTTTTTGTTTTTTAGAGCGTCTTGGTCTTTCTTAATAAGAAGCGATGGCTAAAGAAATATTTAATTTAAGTAATAAGTAATTAACTATTAGTTCACTGTAAACTAGACAATATTTATTTTAATTGAAAAGAAAGACGACATTTGAGCCGCTAAATTTAGCTAAGTTCTGTTTTTAATAAAATCATTAATTATTCGCGATTTTTTTTTTTTTTTGTCATCCAACTATACTATAGTTCACCCACTTTTAGAAAAACTACCTCGTTTAATAAAGTTTAACTTTACATTCATTAAATTGAGCTTTATTAGGCAAAAACTTGAGATTTGCCTCCAGTTGTGTAAAGAAATGATGTTATTTTCTGTCTTCTCCTGAAAGTTCCCGTGTTTTCAGCAAACATGACCACAATTAACTGTTGCAAAGCTTTTATTTCTAGTTTTTACGTGATCGGATGTCTTTTAATAAAAAAAAAAAAAAAAAAAATGCCTCAATATATACTTTATTTATAAATAGAATAAAATTTAAAATAACGATTCTTCAAACATTTTTTATGTAAGGTGGTTTTGAAATTGTGTTTTTCTTCCAGATCTCATGTCATAAGAGTTGATCGGTATTTATAAGTGACAAAGTTATTGTTTCTAGCCCTAATATTTACTTTTCCATGAAAATAATTGAAGCAATGGGTATGTTTATTTATTTTAAACGTCAGTTTAAGTCGGTAATTTCACCGCCCAAAATAAGTAAATTGTGTCCTGATTATTCGGATAATTTAGATGGAATTGTAAAATTAAATAATTTTTTTATACTACCGAGCGAGGATTACGGAAGTTATTTGAATTCCACTTTCTCAGTTGGCTACGATGGAAAAGTGCCCAGAAAGATGCCATGCTCACGCACACTGTTTATCAAAGTAAAAACTGTTAAGGCTGCAGAAGTATATGAAAAACTAAATGTTGTATATGACTTTTTACGTTTTATTGCAAGAACATACTAAACTTATTTCTCTGAGTCAACAACGTTTATTCTTGTTTTCATTATTTGTGACATAGTTTCATTCTATAGTCCTTTTCAGCGTTTAATTTCGTATTCACAATTTTGTAATATTATGATTATTATTATTATTATTATATTGATGAGCCGTGGTTTGTTTTGTGGCACATTACAATAAATAAATTTAAAGTTACATTACAATAAATAAATTTATTGTAAATTAAATAAATTTAAAGTTTTAATCGGTAAGATGGTCTTGTTACTTTCACATACCTGTGTATGTAATATATAGTAAAGGCAAGTATTGCGATCGTGGAAATCTAATCTTAGTTTTCAACGGAAATTGACGTTCAGTGTAAAATTTGCAGTTTTTAACATTATGTAGGTTTTATTCCAAAATTATACATTTGACAGAGCTTAAATGGATAATTTTCAATATTAGCTTCCCTTGAAGTACCTTTATTTGTATTTGAAACAATTAACCATGTCACATTAATCTCCAATACAAATAATGGTTAAATGTAAAATATGAAAGAATTTGATTATTAACTAAAGGAGAAACAACAGATCGTAACGGCGAAAACGGTTGCAATGATGGAACCAAAAGAATACGATCCCGCCCGAAGATTAGAACATTAGAAGATCAGAATACGTAACATGAGCTTAATGTAATACGGAACTCAGAAAATATTATGTACATATACATATGCGGGTTTCATAAATATTTTCGCTAGTATTATTTAATATTTAATTTTATAGATTACAGCGATATAAATATTAACATTTTTATATATATGGGTACTTAAACAAATAAAAATATCCAAAATGAAATATAAATCAATATAGCTTTTATAATTTTTATTTTCACTTCGAAATTATAAGGTATCGTTCAGGGTGGAGGTTAAGAGTTTCATTGACATAATATACATGGTGGGTCAGATCCCCATACAGTGCACCCCCCCCCCTTCCCTCATCCCCATAAATTGCACATCGTTCCCGCAAATAAGGCTGACGACTTTGGCGTGATGGGTTAATTTTTTGATCACTGGGATTCGGCTTAATATCATCATAATTGATCTTTTATTAAAACTGGATAGTCAGAGAATAATAAAACAGAAAAAATGTTACAAGATAATTGGTTTAGTCCATAAAGACACCAATAAGGTCAATTTTTTCAGCTCCTTCAAACTAAAGTTAAAAATCAAGAGTTTGTAATTAAATGGCTAATAAAAACGCTCTGTAATAAAACATCTGTTAAATAATTCTAAATAGTTAGTTAATTTTTAAAATATTTGAATCAGCTCCTCTAAAAATTCACTTAATTGGCAGAAAGAGATATTGGTGTAGGCATCTAGGGTCTTCTGCCTCATCATTCAGTACACTTAAATTGCATAGTTATAGTGCTGTAATAGTCTTTTTGGTGTGTTATTTTTATTGTATTAATGAACAAATATTGATGCAATAATTTAATTGTCCGAAACCTTTATACAACCTTTTTAAAAATACATCTAATGCATTGAACACTTATGATGTTACACTAACCTTCACTTCTGACACAGTACTATACATAAATTTTGAGTTTTAATCAGAAATATGGTTTTGTTTTCTTAACCCTATCTCAGTTTGTAGGTTGAAAACTTAGATTTCAGAACTCCAACTTAAACTGTTAAATTCCAAGAAAAATCTTTATTAATAAAGAGAAAAAAAAATGTTCAAATATTTATAGCAAGCATGTTTGATACTGTGTTTAATCTGGACTTTGCGATCCAAACAAGGTTCATTCCCATCCAGTCTGTATTTTTGTGACTACTTTCAGCAGGCTTCTGCTACTTAAAACTTCTTTAATTTATTTTAATCCTGGACAAAGAAATATTATTGGCTATGATGAGATGATTACTAATAAAATTTTTTTTTATACTTTTGTTATTGTGTATTGATATTATCATAAGTAAATAATTAATTAAGTTAAATGATAATTTTTTTTTATAATTGGTTTTATAAGTAACAACACTCTTAAAATAAAATCATTAAAGTGAACTATTAAAAATCCTTTAATGATTTTGTTCCTATTTCAAAAAAAATATTTTAAATTAATTTTTAGATTGAGGAGTAATGATTTATTTATTAGGTTCTTTATCAGTCATTCAAGTTTTTATCTTATCTTTGCCGTCAGATAAGATATAATATTCAAGTGATTTCATCATCATATTTACCATACATATTCTTAATATTTGTATATTAATTCAAAAGTTAACTACTTATTTATCTCATTAATTTAATAATAATCAATGGATATGATTGTTTATGCATTTAATTTTGGAAGTCAGAGATACATGTGTGTCATTCTAAAATAAATGGGCACATTTAAACTGGATTTTTTTAATTTTCCCAAAAATTAAATATAAGGGTAATGAATAATGTGACAGAGAAATAAAATAAAAAAAATTATATCCATTTTAAAACAAAGAAATGTTTGAAAGAACCCTTAGACTGTTATTAAAAATTAAAATGATATAGTAGTTATGGAAAGAAATAATTATTTTATCATAATAATTTGTAGCCTTAAAAAATTATTGAATAATTGAATGTTATACTCTATGATAATATATTTAAAAAAATGATAAAAAAGAATAAACAGCGCACAACATTTTATCATTGACTTGAAAAATAACAGTAAAAATATTATTTTATATTAAATACTGTTAAATCCACTGGAGGAGAAAATAAAACATTACAATAACCATGGGAGAGTTATATATTTTGAAGCTGTTTCTTTTGGTTCAAGTCCAGATGTGTTATAACCCACCATCCATCTTTGTTTTTGAGCGAATCCTACCAAAAATTAATCTTTCAAATTTCGTACAATTTGAAAGATTAATCAAGAAAGGTGATGGGGTTGCTGATCCTAAAATATAGTTAATAAAAAAATGATTGAATGAGAAAAAAATTTCAGAATCTGTTTTGAAAACTGACTCGTAGCATGGGTTAGCTCTGGAGAATAAATCTGGATAACTAGGCATCTTTTGTTAGATGCATACGTTTTTTTTTTTAATTCAAAAATGGTATAAAAAAAAAATGTTTCCTTGCATGTTATATTTGGCATTTGCATTAAACATCATTGAAAAAATCTTTAATTTAGATTGTACCTTGCCCATATGTTCTTGCTCAGGATTAACTGTATCTTTAAAAAATTACTCAATTTCTTCACTAAGAAAGGAAATGAAAACCTACAAATCTCCATACAAGAAAGAGTGTGATCATACTCATATTTTTATATTAAAATCTTGGAGATATTATTAATGAATTTAAAAACCTAAGTTCTATATAAAAGTATTTTATAAGGCTGTAACCAATTAATCTTAACATACTAGACCAATATAATCTTACTACCTCAAAAGTAAAAATTAACTATCTAAGAATGCCTTTTGTATTGATTGGTTAGTATGAATTAATTTATAGTAATTAAAAATAATTTGATTGTTTTCTTTTACTTTAATTTATTTCTTGTATTCATTGTTTCTTAAACTTGATTTCTAATTTAATTTATTAGGAAACATCATGAAACGTAATTCTGATATGAAATCTGAGCGGGGTGGTTTAAAGCGAAGTCGCCAATCTGAGGAGCCTTCATTGAGACTTTTAATTCCCTCCAAGGTAGCTGGTTCTATTATAGGTAAAGGAGGAAAGAATATCAGTCGAATAAGATCAGATTTTAATGCTACCGTCCAGGTTTGTTCCAATTTCTTCATTTATTTTCATTTAAGATCACATATGTTTATGATAGAAATAATGATACCAAACTCTATTTTAAAGTTAAGAAGAAACATATTTATAAATTTAGACAGTAAAGTTAAAGTTTTACTGTCATAATTGATTTATATTATATGTATATTGATTTTCTCCCTTAACACTGTTTTTTTTTTTCATTCAGGTACCAGATTGTTCAGGCCCAGAAAGAGTAGTGTCAATTACTGCTGATCAAGAAACATCACTTAATATCTTAGGTACAAATGATTTTTGTGTGAATAATTTTATTAAGTTTATTATTTCTAATAATTTTTGCTGTTTTTTATTGAAAGTTAAATTTGTTTTTATTTATCTACAATGTTGTTCGGTTAGTAAAGATCTCCACTTAATTTATTTCTAAATTCATTTGTTATGAATCATTTTATCATGAAAAGCTATGGCTCAACTTTCTTTTATTTTCTCCTCTGTTCATTTGCATGAAATTTGTCTATAGTTATTTGAATGATAATTTATTTTTCACTAGTATGATATCAATATTATAAAAAAAAAATCTGGTGCGTGCAACACACAGCTTTCACTTACCACTCTGCTTTGAATAGAAATTATTTTCTAGCAATATTGGGCTATTTTAAAATTTTTGAATTTTACAATTTTTGTTCAAAACATAAATGTTAGATCTGTTAATAAGCTCTAATTAATTTTATTTGTTCTAATTTTGCACAGGTGAAATCATTCCATGTCTGGATGAATTTTTTTCTTCTTCAAAGAATGAAGTGGATGTAAGGTTGCTGGTTCACCAATCCTTGGCTGGATGTGTCATAGGCAAAGGTGGTGCTAAGGTAGGTTATATTACATTTTATTTTTGTATAGTCTCTTTTAAGAGATGAGGTGTATTTCTGTTAGCACAGAAAGTATTTCTACCCGAACTCTTAAGCAATCTGCTTTATATTTATTGACTTTTTCACAGACCAAATAGTTACCACCATTGTTTAAATTGGTGTTCACTATAATTTCCTTTACTTTTATATAATTTATTCACAAATAGTTCAATGTAGGGAAGGGAGGGGAGAAGGTTGCTAACTATAATTTTTGTATTTAGTATTTCACAATATAACTAGATTTAAAAAAAATTGTTTATGAAGATGTCCCCGGGCTACTTAAACACTAATAAACATTGTATTTTCATCACTGTTTTAAAATTGCCATTAAAATCTCTCCTGCTGAAGAACAGCATGAGCAAGAAGTTGCACTTAGCCTGCTCGGTAGCTGCTGTAATTTTTCTGTATCAACCTCTAATATTAGGTTTGTTCACATTGTCCTTGCCCAACCTATCCTTCCTTTCCCTCTATATCTTGCAGATCATATGCTGCTAAGTAATCCTCATTGTATTTGCCTCGCCATTGTTCTCAGTACATAACTCAACTGTTTGAACTCACAGATCCTGACTAAGCCTATGGTGATAAATCCATATAATTCATAGTTTTTTTCTTAATGAAATGTCAAAAATTATTAAATACTATGAAGGTTAGGAATAAGAAGTTAGGAATTTATCTATCCAAAAATTATTTTCAAAATCATCTATCTAATAAAATAATTATAATTTCATTATTTTTGTTAGCACAATTAAATCATTGTTATACTTGCACAATATATCCCCGTAGTTGTTGCATTCTGTGTCACCCTCCTTTTGTTTTCATTGTTCAATTATGTGTACATTCTAATGAAGTCTGACAATCTTATTTCTATATAAGTAACTGCAAAACTGTTATTTATCTGATCAACAGAATGCAACTGGGTTAAATAGCATCATAAAGTAACAAATAGTTATTTATAACGTAAAAATGTTATTTAAAATCAAACTTAAACATTAAATTTATCAACAATTTACAACTAATTAATTAAGGTTAACACCCATCATTAAATGTTAAATAAACACTTATAATTGTTATTATTTTACTGTTAACTAACTCTGTTTCTTTAATTATATCTCCCCATACATCAAAAAATATGAAGTAGAGGAGTGAAAAGACATTTTCTGTGACCGAATGAATGAATGAGTGCTAAGTACGAACCCATGATGAGTGAAGAAAGAAACTGTCAGCTGACACTATCTTTATAAAATAATAATGGGATATATATTTCATTTGCACTGCAAATTGGTCATTGGCTGTGATAAGCACCTTGCTTTCACTTAAAAAACGTGCACAGAAAAGCATGTCATGACAGCCTGGTAGGTAATTGAATTGATCATGTTCTAATAAGAATGGGGTATTATAATCATGTAAATGATATGAAGCTTGCAGAAGTACTTACATCAACTCTGGATATGTTGATGTTATTAAAGCAGAGAATTTAATACTAACCTAAACCAAAAAGATAAAATTCTAAGCAACCTAACGTAAAATACTTTTGAATGTTTAAAGGAGGTTGCTATTCGAGATAAGGTTTTTGAGGCAGTGAATAATGGCTCTTAAGTTGAAAATACGCTAAATTTTTACAATAGTCGTAGTGAAAACAGATTATAATATTTCAAAGTATTCTAATAATTATAATATCAGGTGATTTTAAAAATAATTTCTGGCAAATAAATTATGTATGCTAGCTATTGTACCTCCATTTTTATCCCTCCATACGTTAATTATATTTAATACTTTATGACATTTTCCTTATTCTTAGACAAAATTGATTAAAGCTTATATGAACAAATACAAAAATTGAAACCAATCTTAATCTGATATTGTCAAGATTAAAAGGTGTTTCTGATTGATAATTTTTTTTCCCCTCCTCAAAGGTTAAGGAACTAAGGGAAAAGACTTCAGCTAAAATCAAGATTTTTGGAAACTGCTGCCCACAATCTACTGACCGTGTTGTCTCTGTTGTTGGTTCTCCCGAAGTTGCTTTGAATGGAGTTAGGGAAATACTTTCATTACTGAAAGATACTCCCCAGAAAGGTATTGTTAACAGATGATATTTATTCTTTATTTATAGAAACCTGAAAAGATAAGTTTCATTGTAATGTAAATGTATGTGTGTGTAGTATTTGTTTTTCTATCTATCTTTTTTTTTTTTACTTTCTCTTTTTTTCCTTTTTGTTTTAAACTGTTTCTTCTGCTTTATTATTTTTTCTTGTGTTTTCTCTTCTGGTAATGTGGGTTAAAGCAATAGTGATATTGCTTAGGAGTAAATAAATGCTAACGCTCCCCAAAAAAACTTCACTTGTTACATTACTTTGGAAATTTTTAGTGATAAGAGGATGAAAATGTGACAGGCCAAAGTGTGGGGCTTTCCTTTACCCTTATCTTTATCTCCTGTCTGGTATTGCCAACCTCATATCTCCCCCATGTTTTATAGCCTCACAGGCATTGTTTCTTTTCTCTCCTGAAGGAAGTGAGTTGGTTTATATGCGTTCTTAATATTGGCTTTGTACAGAAAGTTCTTCCTGGTCTGTCGGAATTAAGGAGACCCTCTCCATTGGTATTGAGCAGTGCAGTAAATTAAAATTTCCCTAGGAAACTGCAGCTCAGTTACAGAGGTCCAGTATCATTTCCATATTTTTTGAAAATTCCAGCTTATTGCATAGATTCCTATTCCTCTCTAGGAGTTTGAAGGGACCCAATTGTCAAAAAGACGCATCTTGCTTCCATAAATGAGCTGGCTGGTGGATAGGTTCTATTTCCTTAAGATAGATAGCCCTTTCTACTACCAAGCCTTCTCCATTACTTGTGCCAGAATTAGTCTTATCACAGAGGAATTTTGGAGGAACTTTTATTTAAACTTGCACTTTCTCATGAGATATCATACTGATTGCCTTTGTTACTCGCAGATCCTTATAGAAAAGATAAATCATGGCTTACTTAGGTGATCAATGTCTGTAAAGTGAGACTATTTTCATAAAAGACGCTCCAGCCCTCTGTTCGTTGCTTATCTAACTTTGACAGTTACCTTTTATCTGTAAATAGGAAATATTTGTTTTTAACTAATTTATGTAGCAGTGATGTTAATAACACATTTTTCCTTCTTTTTTTTTTTTCAAATTATTTGAAGACAGTTGGCAATGTTATATGGTCGTACCTTTACTAAACTAATCTTCATTTCTCGCTTATTAACAAACTACCTAATCTAGCATTAAAATGTAATTTTTGAACAATTAAAATTTAATTTTTATTTTAAATATATAAGAGCTAACTGGACATTTTTTTTTCATTAACTATATCATACAGTCTCAAAACACTTCTTGATTTAGAAATAAAATTTTAAAGGTTATGTTTCCAAAACCTGAGTCATGTCCATCATTTGAGAAAAAAATATTTTGTCTAGTTGTTCACTTAATTATCAGATTATCTTGATTGATTTGATCAACTGAAATAAGTGTAGAGAGTCACAGTTATGCAATTACATTTTCAATGGTAACAAAAAAAAATTTTTTATTGTTTTATTTTAGATTGATAATAGTACTTTCCTTTTGAACATATAATGATCCTATTAAAACATTTTGACTTGTGAATTCAATTTTTATTGGTTAATAAATTCAATCCACCTAATGTATAATTTAATAACAAAGAAATGCAATTTAAACACTTGTCTGTTTTGTTTTGTATTTGTATAACCACTCATGCTTATCCTGTACTTGAAAAAAAAAAATGTTAAGTTTAGAAATATGATTAATATGGAATTATTTTGGTAGTCGATGCATTTTCAGTTTCCTATATTTAATATTTCTGCTGTCATATTTCATACTCATATTATTCCAGGATATTCTGAACTTTATGATCCGTCTAACTTTGATGAAGAATTTGCTGAGGATTATGGTGGCTTTGGCAGTGGAAGAATCAGTGGTGGAAGGCCTATATGGGAAGGTGGTGCTCCTGGCAGATTTCCCCCACCCCCTCCTCCTCCACCATCAGTACCGTTCAGAAGAGGAGACATTCCTGATCAGACCCAAGTGACTATTCCTAAAGACTTAGCTGGAGCTATTATAGGAAAGGTAAGTGTAGCAGTTAATATTAAAGACATTCATCAACTAAAATTGATTCTGGGCATTCAACTGTCCAGGTTTTTCATTTTGTCTTTTCATATAATCAACATTTTATCCCCGGATTGCCTTTTTACTGTCCTTTGTTGGGGTATGAATGGACATCATAATTCAATATCACTATGAAATTAATTATACAATCTTGAAAACAAAATTTATATTTTCTTAATCAGAAAATCTCAGTATCTGAAATAACATTATTTTTTGCAGTTAAGACAAGTCGGAATCAACCGATATAGAAATTTTGGTCAATACTGCTTTCAATAGTTGATATTTGATCCTATAGGCTAATAGGGCTAATTTGAAATATATAAAAAACAAATTAATTTTTTTTATTTGAAACAATTGACCATTTCACATTAATCTCTATTAAAAAAGATAGTGAAATATGAAAGAATTTGATGATTAACTAAAAGAGAAATAATAGATCTTAAAGGAGAATAGTTGTAATTGAGAAACCAAAGGAATACAAGTGCACCCAAGCTCGCCCGAAAGATACGAATATACTTCCATACATAACATGAGCTTAATATAATACAGACTCCGGCAATATGATGTAACCATACATTTGTGGTTTTCATAAATGCTATTGTTGGTATTATTTAATTGTATAAATTAGAGTGATATAAATATTAAAATTTGTCTATATAAGTGTACTTATTCAAATAATAATACAAACTATGAAATATAAATAGATATAATGCCTGTCATTTTTCCTTTCACTTCCTCTTTGTCTGAAAACACTTATTTCTGCTAAGAAGAGGATGTTAAATGAAATTTGTGTCATGCGCACACCCCACCAGATTTTCCTTCAAGGTTTATACTGTTGGGCTTGGGATATCCTACTTACTGCCAAATAAGCTATCAATCGATCAACTAGAGATTGACCTATTAACAAATTTTAGCCAATAAAGAGTGATATACTAATACATCAGCCTTTTGTTTCTGTCCTTCATGAACAGTACAATGTTGCTTAGAAAATTATCCTAATTGTTGAATGGACATGTCGATAAATTCTTTATGGAACAACCAATAGAATTATTTCAAAGACCAATATATTGCTCTCACCTCCTTTTATATCAGCAAAATTTAACTTGTACTATTTATTTATTGCTAATAAATGTGCCACCCTGCCTCAATTTTACAGTACAACGCGAACTCAATAATTCTCTCCCTTTTCTCGACCTTCTAATCATTAAAAATCCCAGCAACACCATGTCCACAGACTGGTACACTAAACCAACTTACACTGGCAGACTTCTAAATTTCCATTCTTAACATCCCTACCACTAAAAAATTAACGTTGCGAAAAATCTCATCCACCGTGGTCTCTCCCTCTCTGATCCCCAATTTCATGTTACCAATATCAAACGCATAAAACAGATCCTGTCAAACAATAATTTTCCTCTCCTTGTCATTAACAAACTTATAACAGACCACAAAAATCGCTCTTCCTTAATCTCGACTTCCATTAATTCTCCACAACCCATTCCAGCCCCTATATACAGATCTCTACCTTATATTCCTAACCTTTCGGACAACATCAACAAAGTTTTACGATCTACTAATCCTAGCTTGCGACATGCATTCAAATCTCACAACACACTCTAAATTATACACATCCCTAAAAGATCCTGTTCCTCTCTCATATCGTTTACCGTATTCTGTGTTCTACCCCCAATTGTTTTTCATCCTATATTGGTGAAACCGAAAATCTTCTAAAAGACCGAATAACCCAACATAAATATTCTGTATCCTCTCGTAATTTTACCGCCTCCAAATTATCCGAACATTCTCTCTCCCTCAATCATACATTTGATTTCGACAAAACATCCATCCTTGCCACAGTTCTCAACCATGACAAACGACTCAGTTCTGAAACTCTCCACATCCAGCTTCAACCAAAGACAGTGAATCTAAAAACAGACAAGCAGAACTGAATTTATTATAACATCCAAGGTTATATTCCTTTTCTTTTTGCTGACAACTTCCTTATATATATATATATATATATATATATATATATATATATATATATATATGTGTGTGTGTGTATATTTATTTCAATTATTCTCCCTTATTACTTAACAGTTATTTTTCTTTTGAATTTTCCATCCTCTTTCTATCAACTTTCGTTTAGTTTTCCATAATATTTATGAGTAATATATCTCTCGTCCCTATTTACGCTTCCTGTACTTTAGTTCAAACTTCATCAGATAACCGTTAGATATGACGCCACAATACATCTCTTTTATCCCCCCTCCCTTGCTACTATTTTTACTTCTCCGTTCAACAATGGTGGAGACAGGTACTTTTCCTTTTATCTCTTTCTTATTTCAGTTTTCTCAGTTTCTTCCCTCCTTCCTTTCATTCCGTTTCTCTGTTTTAACTCTTTATTATATTATACATTGTCTGTACATCTTGATAGACTTTACAATATCTCAATTTTCTATCTAACTACTCTATTCGCAATGTCTTAATTTTACTATTTATTTTCATATCTTATATAACATATTTCTTTTTTCTGTTTTACATTTTATTCTAAGATTCCCATTTTAATACTTATGTCACCTTTTTTGATTATGTTTATTATTTATCTCTTAGTTCTTACTGTTGTCATTATTCTAACAACTTCATTCTACTTTAATTTTTTTTACCTGCACTACATATGTTTCTCATACCTTGTCATCTGGTTCTTTTCTTAGCCCTGATGAAGGCCTGAACTTCAGGTCCAAACGTCGGCAAATGTCAAAATAAATATTATCATTTATTTTTGCTTTCTTATTTGACTGATGATACACCCCAACTATTCTTCTCTTCATTGTTCAATCACAGTCAACCATTTTACCCACAATTGTGTCAAGGGATTGATATATACATAAATTTGAGCAGATACCTATACTCTATTAGATCCCTATCGGAGTTACGACCTTATTTTATAGAGATTGGTAGAGTTTCACTTAAAATATTATTTTTATTTGTAATAAATGTGTCAATGAATTGACATTTACTTAAAGTTGAGCAAAATACTGATATATCACCTTATGATCGTATTTTATCGAATTTCACTTGAAACGTTACTCTTATTGCTAATAAATGTGTATTAATCATCAAGGAATTGACATACACAAATTTGAGCAGATACTGATATTAAAAAGACTGATACATCGGCCTTTTGTCCTTATTTTATCAGAATTGGTAAAATTTCACTCGACTGTTCTCTATATAACTGAATGGACGTTCCAATCAATCATTTTGGGGTCAAACTGTATAAATATTTGAGCTTATACTGTTATTCCAAAGATTGATATATAAGCCTTTCAAATTAATTTTATCAGGATTCGTAAAGTTTTACTTGAAATACTCTACTTATTGCTGAGTGAAGATTTTAATTAATTGACAAGTCTAAATTTGAGCCAATACAAATATTCGAAATACCATATTTTTTTTCTTTCCCTGGTCATTCTTTAAATATTCTTCTTGTTGCTAAATGAACATATCAATTGGTCATTTAAGAATCGAAGAGTTTTTGAAATTTTTAGCAGTTTCCGAAATTTTCATGACTAATATATTTAGGCCTATTGGTATTTTTATTTTCCCTCTTGATTTGTTCTGTTCCACTTAGTAATATATTTCTTATTGATGAATTAAAGTTTCAATTTAAGGCCGATATCGGTATTGATCGATCCCTTTAATAAGTGTTCATCTGAGCACAGAACCTCTTGTGAAACCAAACTATAATCTAAATTGTATTCCTTATAATTTTTTTATGGCTATTTTAAATCTATTTACTATAATAAGACATCTAATGTTCCACGTCCCCATTCTTAAATTTTCAGTTTTGAACTTCTGCCATTAATCACTGTGCTGTTCGTGTAAATTTGAAATAACAGAAATAATTTTGCATTTAAGTTCTAAATCTGATTCATTGAAGAGTTCCGATAGACATTTATTTTTTTACAAAGGAAAAAATCTATGAAAAGTGATTACTATAAAAATGTCTGTGAATTAAATAAAGAGACCTAGTAAAAATTTTACTCTTTAAATCCTGTTCAATCTTTGTTTTTAAATGGTCATATAATGAATCATGATGAACATCTAGTACTAATTATCATTTTTTTTTTTTTATTTTGCCTGATTTCACCAAGTCCATTTTCAGTTTTCTAGTGATTTTATAGTTCCTGTTGTTAAAGGACATTTATTTGTCTGATCTATGAAAAAAAGACTTAAGGTGGGTTTATGGCCTTGTTTTATATAGTTCTCATATATTTGGAATTTCATTAGGTCTAGGAAACCAGAAAAGGGATGTATATGTAGGCTATTACTTATTGTGTCAATATCAAACCTTAAGTGTTTAATGCCCTATTGTATCAAGTAAAGGGCAAGAATAATATTTATAATATGCTGGAGTAGGTAACAAGTTTTTGAGAGTTAAACCAACAAAACAAAAGATTATAAGTTAACTGATTTAATTAATGAAAGTATTATTATTCATTTTTTTAGAAACTATAGTGAGAATGAATAATCAATTAAAAAAAAAAATAAATGGTTTTGTCAGCAAATAATACTATTTATTATATTATATCCCTTTAGTTATTACCAGGCTTAATGTTGATTTTTTTTGTTATTTCAGGGTGGATCCAGGATTAGAAAAGTACGTTCGGATTCTGGAGCTGAGATCACCATAGATGAGCCATTACCAGGTTCTAATGACAGGATCATTACAATAAAAGGAAATCCCGATCAGATACAGCTGGCTCAGTACCTGCTGCAGCAGGCAGTTAGAGAGTCCCGCGGCAGGTACTGAAGTGTTGAAACCAGGTCTATCAAGAGTGACCGAGGTCCGAAAGGATCTAATTATCATAATTTCTTATAAATTTTATTTTACTTTCTTATGTTAGTTATCTTGTATTGTATGTAGACATGTTGATATTAGTGAATAGTTTTAGGTTTGGTCGGTTTAAGAGATTATTTTTCATTGACATAGCCTAGAGGTATAGTGTATTTTTATTTTATTTTTTCCCCAAGATTATTGATATTTATGTATTTAATTATTGGTTTATACCAATTGAAATGTATTTAACAATTGAATATTTAAATAATGACCGACCAAAAATTATACATGTTTACAAAAAATCCTCACGTACACTTACATAGTTCCCCTATTGTTGTTTAACATTTACACCAAACATAATTTTTTAATGAAATAAGCACCATATTATTCTTTTTAAGTACAAAAATTCATGGGAGCTTTATATCGTACCACCTTAGTTCCATTTCCATGTTAGAAGTCCAAGTGAGTAGTGCATTTTGATTATTTAATTGATCTACAAATAAAAAATAGAATAGAAAAAATCTTCTGAATGCATTTTTTATTTCTTTTGGGACGTTATATTTGTCCAAAAGATTATTGTCCAAATGACTTTCCCCTCCCACAACCCTGTCCCTGACACCCACCCCCCAAAATAAAAAATAAATAAATAAAAAAAATATTACAAATATAATTTATAAAACTGACATATTGTCATTATAATAGTGATAATGAGTTTGGTGAAACAGTGTGACTATTCAATATTTCATTTTTATTTGCATCATATTTCAGATATTTTTAATCAAAGAAATGGAAACTTTAAATAAAGTATATAGATTATTTTTTAATTTCAGTATTAATTTGCTTTCCCGTCAATTATTTTTTTTTTACCAAACTTGTTTATCACTCCTGTTAGTACTAGTGCAGCTCAAAAGTTGCTGAGTCCTCCAGGGCAAAGTTTAGCTCTGATATTATCTGACCCACCACAACATTTGCCCAAAATGAGGATAAGATGTCCATAAGGAAAAAGAAGAATAATGAAGATATTTTTGTTTACCTTATCACCTCCCCGTAGACCCTCGGGGACACATTTACCTGCCACATCCTCCAAGATGCCCTGCCTTTGACCCTAAGGGGCCCTTTACATTGAAATTAAGGTAAGTCCAATTTAAATTTCCTCCACAAATAAAACAGAAAATGGGAACTCAGTTGAAATTTGGACACTCATCCCAGTGAATACCTCACCCAAAGATAGTATTTTTAAATAGGATATAAATACTTCTATAGTAATATACTTCTCATATTTTAATGAACAGCAAACCAGTTTCAAGTCCTTAGCTGTTGCACAAAGTTTAAGGAAATGTATAATATAATTAATTTCGATCTATACATTTGATTGAATGAATTCCCCTTTATTGGTTTCTTACCAAATGTAATTCTAATTTAATATTTTAAGAAGATAGCTGAAATTTTTCTTTTCAAATATTCTTTATTCAATTTATTATTTAGAAAAAGAGTTTACTTCAACAAATATTGAGAGTAATTATACTTTATAATATTTTGAAATTATGCTTACTTAATTATTGTAGTCATGACCAGGGCGCGGGTTCACATTAATGATAAATAAATTTAAAAAATCTCACTAATATGGTGTATTAAAAAAGGCTTTATTAGCTGATTAATACAAAGAAATTTCTCTTTTTTTCATAGAACTTACTGCAATTTATCATTGACCAGCTAATATTTTTATTGCTTTAGAGATAGTTAATGGCTAGAACAATCAAATTGAAACTTTTCACATGATAAATGCTTTGCTGTAACCAAGAACTAAACAAGTTAAACTCTTGAGTTGTCAGAATCTTGATTATTGTTTCAAATAATTAATTTTCATAAATAACAGATCAATCAATGATGTATTGTCCATTTTGCTCAATTACCTTTTGCCATCTTTAAGTGAACTTAATGATAATCTGCTTTTAAAATTAGTAATTTTTCTTTATCAGTGAAAACTGAGGAATGTGCAGATTTATGGCTTTGTAGGAAATATGTATCATGCTAAGGAAATAGCCAGGAGCCTATTGGAAGTATGGTGAGGGTCAGATGAATATAGTGGATATCTTAAAACTTTCTATCTGACCTTCAACGATGTTTTAAAAATATTCACAAAATTTTATATGTGGCCTCACCCGATAAAAATCCTCCATGCTGCTTTGGGTTTACTCGCTCTTGGCATTTTTGGAATTTTTTTTAATCGATTCCTTTAAATCAGGACAATCATAGTCAGTACTTATTCAAATTGTTTGGTCTCTTACTAGGAGTTTAAAGAGCTAAAATCTCACCTTATTGAAAGTGTATCTTTGATGCTCCTGATGGGAATATCTTGTTTATCACAGTTAATTAATTTAAAAAAGTTAAAAATGTGAATTATAATAAAAGCACACATTGATATCTTTTATCCTCAATCTGTGAAATCTCCGAAATCACAAATGTGTTTACTACTTTTGAGAATATTTGCAGAAAGTAATACTTTGTAGTTATTATGATCGGTTTTACGACTTGTACATTTCAAAACTGACAAGCATATGCTTCAAGATGTTTCTTTTTTTCTTCTCATTTGTTAACTGTTTTGTGGTATTTAAATATTGTACCCCTTTAGTAATATTTCACAAAAATTACTTGATATAATGCCACTTTTCCTAATCTCTGCCATTATTTTTGGTAACATATCGAAACTTAAGTGTAATATTGATTAGATCAAGTAGCGAACTCTCCAATTTAAATCTAAATTTTTTTGATCAAATTATCACTTATCTGCTGGAATATTACATAGTAAGTAATATTTGTAAATATTTTTATTTATTTATTAAAATGAAAAATATTAAGTTATAAATGAAATATGTTTTAGATTATATCAAGGCAATGATTTTTTTTTTTTTTACTGATATTTTTATTCCTGCAAATCAGAATGGTATTGTCTATAGAATTTTTTGGTTGAGATCAATGCTCTGAGCCAGTAAGCATGTTGGCAGCCGGACTATTCACCAGCATATTATAAATATTATTAATATGACTGTGATGTGTACTACAAACTCATCTGCTGGTAAGCATACTGGGTTGGGGCCTGAAATTTGGTCTCATCGCAGGCGAAGGTTTGATTGTAAATTACAAAAGAGTATGTTATTCTGAGTAAAAAAAACCTCGTCTGCCATTATGGAGCGACTGATTTAAAGAATATTAGGCGAGTAATTTGATGATCAAAACGGGAAATCCATTGCGAAGAATCTGAGAAAAGTTTTTATTTTGTTAACTTGTTTATATGGGTTTCTACATGTAAAAAACAAAATTGCTAACGCGGCCACCATGGAAAAACTTTTTACAACCAAAAAAGTCAGATTTTTTCGATATATATTTTTTTCTCCCATTTAGTCTAAACGATACATCAAAGCGAAAAATGTACTCTTTAATAAATTAAATAAGTTAAATTGTGCGTCTGAGTACATAAACTTAATAATTTGGCTATGTGGTAAGGTATAAAACAACAGTCAACCTACTCTGATTTTTAACAAATTTGTTGAAAATAAGACAAATTACTACTGAATTACTTTGTTATTCCTTTATGAAATTCGGTATCTTTCGACACTTCGTTTATCAAAATCCTTCGCTGCTAAGAGATGAAAAGGAGGCTTGTACTGCATTTAACAGACTAAACAAAAATAACTCAGTAGAATAGACACTCATATTGTTGAAATATTGAAAATCACATTTACCTTTTTTACCAATTTCTTACCATCGGATGATTGCCGATTTTGTTTGAATTAAGTGACCTACATTAAATTAATTGGTACTCACTGGACACTAAATCTGATGCTCTACAACTATGATTCTATGTGTTTTTCCTCTTAACAATCTCATTTCCATGTTGCGGGGTAACATACAATCTCATTTATAGTAATTTGTCTTTCAATTTTTTTATCAAAATTGATAAAAATCAGCATTGGTTGACTCTGGTTTTATATCTTCCCGCGTTAACAAATTATAAAGTTTATGTACTCGTTCGACGCACAATTTAATGTTCTTTAATTTATTAATTATTTTAATTTTTCCCTTTGATGCATTGCTTAGGCGTTATGGGTGAAAAAACCAAAAAACATCGAAAATATCTGACTTTTTTGGCTGTAAAAAGTTTTCCCTTGGTGGGCCCGCGTCAGCAAATTTGTTTTTCCCATGTCTAAAGCCATATATACAAGTTAAAAAATTAAACTTTTCGCAATGGATTTCTTGTTTCGATCCTCAAATTACTGCCCTAATATTCTTTAAATCAGCTGCCATTTTTGAAAGCTGCGGCTCTGGAACGGTAGACAAGGTTCTTTTTACTCAGAATAACATACACTTTCGTAATTTACAATCACACCTTCACCTGCGATGTGGTCGTTTTTTGGGCCCTGGCTTCAGGGTCTATCAGGATACAACCATACAATGCTTTAGAGGTTCCCATTTTAATATATAGAGATTGAAACATTTTGTGTGATCTACTTACCTAATAAAGTAAAGAATATTAAATATACTCAAATAATTTATGCTGTTTATCTCGGTGAAATTTTAAGTGAATATATAAATAAATGTTTAATTTTATTTTCTTGGGCTCAAATAGTAGTAATGCTTGAATTTCTAAATTAAAAGTAAATTATCAAGTTCACTAAAAATAAATAAATTTGTTTTTGATTGAATTGACATTGAAGGATATTAATATTATACTACTATTAATGTTTACTATTTATTAGTTATCATAAGTGGTAATACGTAGAAGCATGTTCTTTAGTAGTGAAATATTAATTCTCTCTAGCGCAGTATGTGTGTTATGTGCCCCTACTTACAAGTAACAAGTAACAAAAACAAATCAGACAAAAAATTTTTATTTGCTAGTTCAGGTTACTAATAAAATTATACCTCATGATGAAATTTCTAGATTTTGTTTTGTAAATGAATTATT